TGTTCCTTATTCTTGACGATATCTAGGTATCTAGATATTTATCTAGATATTTACCTCATCGTTTTGCTAGAATTAAAGCCTGAAAAGCCAAGTAGTCTTTCCTCTTGTTTTCCTCTCCACATATCAACGGTGAAATAATTATCACAATATGGGTAACATTTTCATACAAAGTTCTTTGGGCTTTAGGATCATAGAATGTCCATCTGTGAAAAATATCATATAACCCAAATGTTGCTTATGCATGAAATATATTAATTAGGTACTGATTTATAATTGCATAAATGATAAGATAAATCTTATATAAATCTTATATACCATACATCTTATATAAATGTTTTACATACTATGCATGTGTAATTTTATATAAAGATAATACATATATAAATATAATAAATATATCAATACAAATAAATAAAACATATAATATATAAAATAAATATGTTAAATAAATATTATATATTAATATAAACAAATAAAAATGAAATATAAAATTCATATAAACTTCAAAAATGTATAAAATAAATGTATGTAAATATGAATAAAAATAAAATATAGAAATATATAAAATATGTAAAATGAAATATACATAAAACAAATATAATATATACTAATATAAACAAATAAACATGAAATATAAAATTAAAAAATGAATAAAATAAATATATGTAGATATAAATAAATATGAAATATAGAAGTATATAAAATATATGTAAAGTAAATATACATAAAATAAATATATATTAATATAAACAAATAAATATGAGATGTAAAAATATAAAATATATATAAGCTTAAAAACGTATAAAATAAATGTATGTAGATATAAATAAATGTGAAATATAGAAGTATATAAAATATACATAAAATAATATAGTATATTTTAATATAAACAAATAAATATGAAATATAAAAATATAAAATACATATAAACTTTAAAATGTATAAAATAAACATATGTAAATATAAATGTGAAATACAGAAATATATAAAATATATGTAAAATAAAATATACATAAAGTAAATATAGTACATATTAATATAAACAAATAAATATGAAATATAAATATATAAAATATATATAAACTTAAGAAATGTATAAAATAAATATATGCAGATATAAATAAATATGAAATATAGAAGTATATAAAATATATGTAAAACCAAACATACATACATAAAATAAATGTAATACATATAAATATGAATAAATATTAAATGATCAAACTTAATAAACAACTTGAGAATGGCGGTTGGGGGGGGGAATTGGGATTTGTGTTCCTTGTAAACCGAACGATTTCCTGAGCTGTCGGATGTGTTAATTGGGATTTGTGTTCCTTGTAAACCGAACGATTTCCTGAGCTGTCGGAAGTGTTAGATCTTTGGTGGGTTACTTCTTCTCTTCCTGTTTTAGCTGAAGACTTAGCAAACACACTTCACGAGATATGACAGATATGACACGGTGTGTTTTCCTGAAGACTGGGGAGAGAGGCTGCAGTGTTAGCTGAGGAGCAGAGATGCGCTCGGGTTCCTACCAGAGCTATCCTTGGTTGTTTTGCGTTTTGCTTTGGTTATTAGTTAGATGAGACTTGGTTCATATGAAAAAAATAATTTTCTCGGGGAGGGGCCAGCAGCAGACAGGTTTCCTCGACTTTCTGCAGTGTTGTTCATTTTGAGTAGGACTCTGAGCAGTGTCAGTTCTGGCAGGTGAAGGTGACCCTTGTGGCTCTTTGAAGGATCATTTTTAGCTATATTGAGCTGGGTGAGAAAACAGGGCAGGGATGGGGGAGAAAGCAGGGCAGGGGAGGAAGGAGGAGAGAGGGGCAGAAGTGAGAAGAGGGCAGGAGCCTCCTGTGTATGGCTGCGTGTGCAGCAGTGCTCAGCAGAGGGCACTGAAATCTTGGGGAACTGGGCTAACAGATGGTTGTAAACTGACTAAAGGGGGCGTCTGGCAACAAAACTGTCCTCTAGAAGGAAAGCCAGCTCCCTTGCCTGCGGAGCCACCTCTCCAGCCCCTCGCTCCTCTTGGTGTTCTTTGCTCTGGAGGAGGAGAAAGGGGACGTGGAAGAGAAGAAGAAAGAAAGAAGAGGAAGAAGAATTGAGGTGATTGAAACCCCATCTGAAATGTAAGCTGCATGCTGATGATATCTGCAAATGTGCACAGATGAAGCGGCTTCCGCATCTCTGTGGTGTGTGGGAGCGGCTCTCGTGCTAGTCTCTACACAGACTAGTTACGGCCGCTCTTGCTCCCAGCATTGCACATCTGATGCTCGGTTCTCAGGGTGAGTAGTCTCTCCAGTTGTCAACATATGCATGCTTGTAATTCCACGTGTGCATGCGTGTGTGTGTGTGTGTGTGTGTGTGTGTGTGTGTGTTGTGCGTGTGCGCGCGCGCATTGGTCTCCCCTTCCACCACACGTGAGTCCTAGGAATGAAACTCAGGCTATTGGGCCCTGGGAGCAGAGCCCTTTGAGCCATCTCAGCTACCTTCATTTCAGGGGTTTTGCTTGCTTGGGTCTGTAATTGTAGATAGACCCGATTATTCTTGATATAAGAAGCAGTTTTCACTGTGCATCTTGCCTCCCCCCCCCCTTCTTATATGGGCAAAATTTTCAAGCCAAAATTGAGAAAGGCACCCATATTTTCCTTGAAGGACATATAGTGTCATTTTTACAGGCCCAATGATTTGATAGTTTTATGGATTTTCACAGCCAGTCTGTTATGGGGGGCTAGGGGGGGATGGAAGTGTGTTGGTCTCTGTCCTTGCCTAATTTGTTTTGTCTCCTCCATTCATTGGTTAAAAACTCTTAAAGCCCACCAGCAGCTATGTACTTTCTATGTCAAGATCACAGCTCCTAAAGGTTCCATAACATCCCCCCAAACATCACGCCCACCTAGGGACAAAATGTTCAGATACATGAGCCCGTAAGGGGCATTTCTCATTCAAATCACTGCGCAGTCTATCACTGAAGAGAAGTCAAGGCAGCAGGTGTTTGAAGCAGTTGGTCACATTATATCCACAGCGGAGAGGAAGAACAATGAAGTGTTGCACACACCCTAATGCTTGCCTCAGTTTCTACACCCTCCGACAGCTGAAATCCCCTGCCCAGACAATGATGTCACCTAGAGTGGGAGGGCTTTTTCACCTCAGTCTCCCTCAGATATACCCACACGCCAACCTAATCTAGATACTCCCTTTGCAAATGATTGTAGACGTTAAATTGCCAAGTAAAACCAACCATGGGGCGGGGCTGAGTTTAAGAGATAGGTGTAATAACTTTTGCATTTGTCCTTCTCTGCAGTGAAATGGCTGAGTCTACTCCCACTGTACCGGATTTATGAATTCCCTAATTTCTTTCATTGGCACTCATGGAATTTACTACTGTCCTTAGGTGTGGACAAGCATGTGTAGTGTAGTTTGGGCCTCTAGCATTGGAATTGGTGGGTCACATTGTAACAGGAGGCCTGGACCTCCTACTGTAACTGGACTCTGAGGTTCTAACATACTCCAAAGAAGAGTAATGATGGAAATATAAGGGGTTTAAGTAGAATGCCCATTCGGGAAACACAGGAATTAAGGCTGTCTTTAAAAAAAACTGACATCAGCTTGGGTTTTCAAAGAGGAAGAACTGGTGCAGGTGCCCGAGGGCTTCTTACTGTGCTGTGCTTGGTCATCAGCTCAGTTCTGCTTATTCCGGGTGCTTGGAAGAAGTCCCATTGCTTGAGAAAAACCATCCAGTTCCCTAACTCTGCCTGTTGGGACACGAAAGATGAACTTGGGGCCAATGGATCCCTTTCTTTGTTCCTCTTCCTGGTTGATTAAATTTCCTATCTCTGACCCCTGCTTCTGAGTGACAATGAGCCTTGACAGCTCCCCCAGCAAGGAAAAGAGTCAGAGGATGGAGAGAGGCTGACAATTCATCAGAGTCATGAGTTTGGAGCGCTGTCCCCAGCAAAGTTCTGAAAACATTCCCTTCCCAGTCCTTGACATGCACTGACCTCTGCCTGGATGCCAAACTCTGAAGAGAGGCCCCGTCTAGGTGGTTACCACGTTGGCTACCAGGTATTGCTCTAGATACACAGACCCCAGAAAAATCTAATGACCTTTGTAAGCCCCTTCTGAATCTTCAGGGAGTCTGAGTCCACTGTGAAACATTTCTGGCCAGAAACAAAGGAAGGGAAGGGAAAATACAGCTGCTAACCTGCTCTGTGACCCTTTCCTACCCACCGATGCCCTCAGAGGCCCTCCATCCCAAAATGCAAGATGGAAGAAGTCCTCTCTTTTTTTCATATTGAGAAGATTTTTTTTTCGGTGAAGTCATTTTCTTTGTCTCAACACCTTTTCTCTCTACTCAGCTACCTGATGATGGAGCAAAGAAAGCACACCCCAGAATAGCTCTACATAACTGGAGGGGCGGGTGCATAAATGAGCTGAGAAACCTGTGTTCTTTCCTCCTCCTTCAAGTCCTGATCCACAGGCTGCACCACCAGTGCATAGAAAGCTGGGGGAAAGAAAGGGGCAGGTGCAGTGGGACATAAAGGACTATTCAAAGCCTGGAATCCGATCACCCCCTTGTCCCCGCTGAAAATTGCAAAACAGAGAGTTGCAGCACTTCCTCCAACTGCAATGTGTGTTCTTTTCACAGAAACTTCTGCTTTCGTTCGGAAACAGAATTGAAACACAGATGTTAATCTCTGGGCGGGTTTTTCTCAGAATCTCCTATCTACACCAAGTGTGACTCTCACATCCTCAAACAGTTTTATCAAATCCATCGTGCTACACAGCAGACCAACACACACTAATTTGAAGAAGCTATGGAATTGGGGACATTTGGAAGAATCGAATTCAAGAAAACGCAGCCATTGGGATGGGTTGGGGTAGCACTGTTCAGTCACTTTTGTCATTCTTTTTTTTTTTTTTTTTTTTTTTTTTTTTTTTTTTGGGCTTTGGGGGGGGGTCTCTGTGAAACAGCTTTAGATATCCTGGAACTCACTCTGGAGACCGGGTGGAAATGATGCCGAAGAAGTAGAATTACATTTGACATCGTTGGCAATTTCGGGAAAGGCACTGAGGTTCTTCTCGCAGCACTTTCGTATAGTCACCAGGGGGCGGTAGAGATCAGTTTCGTCCATCTGTGATTAAGAGGTAAAGAGAGCTGGAGCTTGGCTAGGAGAGGGGCTCTGGAGGTCCCAGCCACCCCTTGCTGAGAAGCTAAGGGCAGTAGTGCCAGGAGGAGAGCCACCTTTCTTCAGAGGCACAGCTATGAAGAGGGTGTGAAACTGGGAAAGGAAAGAGCTAGGGACAGAAAAGCTGGAGGTGTTGTGTGGAGAAGACTATCACCAAAATACATTGTACGTTGCATATGACATTCTCAAAGAACACCTTTCAGATATATTTTTAGAAAGACATACTGCTGCTGCTGCTGCTGCAGCCACAACCTGCCATCCAAATGAGTCCAATAGCTGACTGAAGATGCCATGGCACCGACTTCATTGGGGGGAGGGCTTTATTTTGCAATTATGTTTTTTCCTTCTGTGACAAAATAAAAAGCAACAAATAACAACACATTATAAAGAAATAAAACAACTAGTTATAACTGACTCCATCTTCATTGTAATTGGCTTTGGTATAACCCAATATGGTTAAGAAAAACCACCAGGACTGAGGGCAGGTAGGGATAGGAACTTGAGGAGTTAGGTTGGGTGGTACGTGGAAGGGGAGAATACTGAAAGAGATGACTGGAATTGGGGACATTTGGAGTTGAGGTAGAAACCCGATGCCAGAGAAACTCCCATGAATCTACAAGGATGATTCATTCAGCTTTCTTGTAGCTGAATAGCTGTGCCTCTGAAGAAAGTCTCTTAACAAGAGGGGATGTATGAACTTATCTCCTATGATCAGACTGGAGACTACTCCAATTGTCATCAGAGAGCCTTCATCCAGTAACTGAGGGAAACAGATGCAGAGACCCACGGCCAAACCTTAGGCTGAGCTCAGGTAATCCTGCTGAAGAGAGGGAGGAAGTGTTATATTAACCAGAGGGGTCAAGGACATCACAAGAAAACCCACACCTGGGCTCACAGAAACTCACAGAGCCTGAACTGACAACCAGGGAGCCTGCAGGAGATCAGCCTATATGTGACAGCTGTCCAGCTTGTTCTCCTGCCAGAGTCCTAACAGTCGGAGCGAGGCTGTGTCTAATGCTTTGACTGACTCTTGGGACCATACTCTTCATACTTGCCCAGCCTTATTACACAGGGAGGTGCTTAGTCTCACCATAATTTGATAACCCATGCTTTATTGATCCCCATGGGATGCCTGCCCCTTTCTGAACAGAAACAAAGGAGGAGTGGAAAGGGGGGCAGAAAGTGGGGGGAAAAGGAGGAGAGGAAGAAAACTTTGGTAGGGATGAAATATATAAATAAAAAGAAAAGAGAGAGAGAATAAGCAAATGGGTGACTTAAGGCTTTAAAAAAGGTGTATGTAAATTGAGCCTTAAAAGCTATCCTGAGCACATTTTTAAGCAGGAGAAATCTACTGAGTAACAAGGAAAGAGCAAGTTTGAGAAATCATTAAGCTCATAAATGCTGAGGCCAAAAAAAATAAGCCACTGTGAATGCAAAACAGGGAAAAAAATAACCCAAACCACTAAGCATAATGTTCCAGACACTGCTGCCAACATCAAAGGTCTCTGAATAAGGTCGGTACTTTCCACACCTGCTTACACATGTGCGCTAAAGCGTAGGACAGCCTCCCTACTAGCCGAGAGCCTGTGTTGGCTCTGCATGCTAACCTTGTCTGCCTGTGGTCATAGCCACTTCCCCCTGATTCTTATTCACTAGAAAAACCCCTGTGCTTCCCGAAATGGGACTTCCCCATTCTATGGAGAAAATACACAATTCCTGCCTCCGGGAGTGAAATGGCTATTTCTGGAAATAAAACGGCTTGTTCTATTCTGTTTTTTGAGGGGGTCAGATAGTTTCCAAATAACCTGTCCTAATGTTTGAGTATGGAATGTCTCCCAGAGACCTATGTGCCTTGCTAGGCAACTTGTGCACTGTTAGTAGGGAAGTGCCAGAAACTCTAAAATCTGGGGTCCATTGAAAGAAAGTTAAGTCACTGGTGTCAATGCAAAAACACAGATCTCACCCTCTAAGAGGTAGTTTATTATGGAGCCATTGTGAGTGGCCACGGCCAAGGAACACAGACTTAGGGTACCCCCAAATTCCATGTTCCAACATGGAAACAGTTTTGTGAAGTTTTATACTTTTACAGAACAGATTCACATAAGTCAAGGCGAGTTTAAAATGCACTTAGCAGGGACATCAGAGAGGCAGGGGACAGAAATCTCTCCTAGAGGCCTCAGGTACTGTCTGATGACATTAGCTTGGGAAAGCTAGTAGTCTGTTAAGGAAATGCATTCCAAAAGGTTTTTTTTTTTTTTTTTTTTTTTTTTTTTTTTTTTTTTGTAATTCTCATAGGATGTGAGAAATCCAGGAATTCAGGGCTAGAGGTAGTCTGTTATAGGACAATCAGCCTGTAGACCGACAACATCCCAGCCTCCGCTCCCGCTGCTGTTCTCACCAGCCAGTCTTTGGATAGCTTCTAGCTTCTTTACAGAAATGCCCACTGGCGCTGTGGTTGGGGTTTGGGCAGCCTGTGGGATGTCTTTTGCCCTCTACCTTTCACGTCTTGACAGGGGTGGGAAGAGTAGTTCTGATCTACCCTATAATCTCCCATCTTGGTGCATTGCCTTAACACAGGCCCAGAAGCAATGGGACCAACCAGCCAGCCATCGTCCAAAACCTAATCAACCTCTACCAAATGAGCCTTTTCTCTTTACAAGTTGGCCTTCTCAGGTGTTTTATTATAGCATCAGAAAGTTGATGTGACATCCTTTACCAAGTAACTTTACCCTGTTTTACTCTAAAACAGAACTTCCTTCCTTCCTTCCTTCCTTCCTTCCTTCCTTCCTTCCTTCCTTCCGTCCCTCCTCTTGTTTTCCTTCCACAGACTTGAACTGCACCTCCCCCTTTGTGCCAGGAAATTCCCCCAGACTTTTAATTCCATGGCTCTGTTAAACAAGGGGATGATGTATTTTGATACCTTGTGTCACAGAGGTCTATCAATAATAGTAGATGAGTTTTTTTTTTTTTTTTTTTTTTTTTTTTTTTTCCAAAAAAAATCAGTTAAGTGTGGCTTACCTGAGCTGCAGAGAGAGTTCAAGGCCTGTCTGAACAACTCAGTGACCGAATGCCTGCCTCAGAAGGCCGCCAGCGGGTGGAGCTCTGTGGGGGATACACAGTTCTGGGAACTACACCAGTTTCCAGGAAAACGAAACCGATCCTAACATCTTGGCTTTTTTCCATGTAATTCAATAGACAAAATCATTCCAAAAGCCACAGCCAGGAAGTGTTCTGAGGCATGCTGAGAAGAGATTAATTTGATCAGAGAATAAAAATCCCTAAAATACAAGGTGATTTACCAGCAAAACTAGAGGGTTGTGAGCTATCCTGGAGAGAGCAAGACAAAAGGCGATGGATCTTTGCTTAGGTACACTGCTGTGGCAAGAGAAGCAAGGCCTGGGGTTTATGTGAAGGTTTCAGGGCTCCAGTCTTGGCCAGAACAAATGGAAAATTGTATCAGTTCCTGGATTTATTTAGGCCCTTGGGTTGGGTTTAATAAACAATTCTAGGAAAAGCCTGCAGCAGCTGCCAGGGTCATAAAAAGATGTGGTGTGTGTGTGTGTGTGTGTGTGTGTGTGTGTGTGTGTGTGTGTGTGTGTGTGTTTGCCCGCCCTTGACTCGGCTCACACAGGAAAGTGGGGGTGGGGGAGGATTAGGCTGTCTTTCTGATGCTTTGTAGCAGTGCCTGATAGTATGCTTAGCACACAATAGCTGTCCAGCCAAGCTCTAGTGGAATAAACTGAGTGCTTTCTCATTGAGCCCACCATACCTGCCAACTAATGTCAGTACACCTAGGATCATGCTATACATTCGGAGTGTTGATGATTGTAGTTTTCCTCCAGGGATCCCAGCTGAGTTTATTAAAAAGCTGAAAGTTAGCTCAACTCCTAAAGAGGAAAAGTTAGACAGAAGACACATGTCTCTCCCATCCACCATGAGAGAGTCCAGCACATAGATTTTGAAAATTTGTTTATTTTACATCCTGACTATAGTTTCCCTTCCCTCCTCTCCTCCCAGTCTTCCCCCCCACCTCCCCTTTGTCCCACCACCACTATCTACTCCTCTTCCTTTTCTAGTCAGAAAAAGGAAGGCCTCTCATGGATATTGACAAAACATGATATATCAAGATAAAATTAAGCACCCTTGTCTTGTATTAAGGCTGGGCAAGGCAACCCAGTATGAGGAATAGAGCCCCAAAAGCCAGCAAAAGAGTCAGGGACAGTCCCTTCTCTCACTGGTAGGGAGTCGCACAAGAAGAACAAGCTACACAACTGTCATATGTATGCGGAGTGCCTAGGTCACTCTCATGCAGGCTCCCTGGTTGTCAGTTTAGTCTCTGTGAGCCCCTGTGAGTCAGGTTATTTGTTTCTGTGGGTTTCCTGTGATGACTTTGACCCCTCTGGCTCCTACTCCTTCCTCCCTCTCTTCAGCAGGACTCCCTTAGCTAGGAGGCCTAGGGTTTGACTGTGGGTCTCAGCATCTGTTTCCATCAGTTGTTGGACAAAGCCTGTGTGATGACTATTGGGCTGGGCACCAATCTATGAGTATAGCAGAATATCATTAGGCATCATTACACTGACAATTTTTTTTCCCTCCAGTCCTGTTTGATTCTATCCTAGGCCTCTGGGCCATCCAGCCTCTGGATCCTGGTGCTCCAGGAAGTTTAAGAGGTAGGCTCCCTCTTGTGGTACAGGTCTCAGGCTGGACCAGTCATTGGTTGGCCACTCCCACAATCTCAGTGTCACCCTTACCCCAGCACATGCCAAAGGCAGGACAGACTGTAGGTCACAAATTACGTGGCTGGGTTGGTGTCTCAGTCCACAAGGCTAGCCTGTGCAACTTAGTGAATCCCTTCCTGAGTATAAAAGGTAAAACAAAGTCTGGAAATACAGGTCTCTGGCAGTATACTTGTTTAGTATGTACAAGGCCCTAGACTGAACCCCTAGCACTACACCTCTGGAAAAAAAGGAAGGAGGAAACAAGGAAAAGAAGAAAGAATGAGAGAGAGAGAGAGAGAGAGAGAGAGAGAGAGAGAGAGGAAATGTTGGCTTCGTATCATACCCCTCTCTGAAATGGATTCTTGGGAATTGTGGAAAAATTAGATTGTATTGGCTATAATTCACATGAGATAATCTTATGGAAAATATTCTTTCACAGAAAATCTGTCTATGATCCAAATTTATTGCAAAAAATGCTTTGCTTAACAGAAAGAAACTGCTGCATAGTCAATTATGAGCCAATCATTCTGTACAATACTACTCAAGATAGAGCTTGTTGTTGCCTATCGTCTCTGCTAAGCTGTGATTTACTGGTTGCATGTTGTGGCTTGTATTTTGCAAACCTTGAAAATTAGCAGTGCAATCCATGATATCAGGCACATTCTCATATACATGTCAGCAATTTTTATGTTTTTTGGATAAAAATCTATTGAAATCCTCTATCCACCTATGAGTCAGGTTATTCATCACTTGCTACCTTATCTGGGTATAATGTATTGTGATGGTTGGTTGGATTTGGTTGTTAACTTGAACACACACCTGTGTTTGTGTGACTGTTTCCACAACAGAGTGTTTTGTAGGACAGTAACTGGGGCAAAGGAACACACCTTCAGTGTGTACATAAATACTACCAGATGACTGAATGGAAAAACAAAACCAGAATGGATTAGGTACACCTACAAGCTTCTTCTTAATGAACAAGAGCATCTATTGCTGCTGATGGTGGTGATGATGGAGATGATGATGATGGGTGACCACGATGAACTCTAGTTTCTTCCATCTTACAACTTGATCCAGTACCACTGTCTCTAGGTAACTACTAAGTAAAACATTCCAGTCCTTTGATAACATCCTGAGGCAGCTGAATTTCCTGAATTGGGCATTACCTAGTTCTCTGTCTTTCCAGCATACAGAAATCCCACTCGTGTTGGATTCCCCAGCTGATACTGGTCAACCAACACAGTAAATCCCTTACTGGGGATTCTAGATTTGTCAAGCTGAGAGTTGAAGTTAGCCATCACAATTCCCTTTAGAATATGCATTCTGTTGCTTCTGTTTTTCGAGAGGACCTTATATGATGCAAGTGCCTAGTGTTTCAGGCACCTTTGTTTCTGAAATAAATATATACTCCTCTTCTGACCTGAAGCAAAAAACAGAAGGAGAATCATTTGGCTACTGGATGTTTCCTCAATAGCTAGACAAACCAAGGTGAGAAAATCAGGAACCTAGTATTAACTCAGTCTTTGCAATACATATGGAATCTACTTAGAATCATTAACTACACAGGGAGATGGATGAAAATGGGGCCACACTCGGAAAGACAAGTCTCAAATGTTCATCTGTGAAATCTACGGGGAAATAAAAGACTGCAAACATGAACACAGGAAGGGGTCTGTCAGGGGAGCGTAAGGAGTTTGGCGTCAGTGTGTAAGGGGGTTTATCAGTCTTCAGTGGCAGCAGGAGACACTGCTCCACACAAATAGCTGTAGCATCCTGAGTGAGCCTCAACTTGGGTGGACTTTAACTCGAGTGAAGATGATGGTCTTGATTTACACTGCAGAGTAAAATAATTCAAGTCAATACCAAGCAAAGTTGGAATTAATTTTTTTTTAAATATGAATTTAAGCATGCATATTGGGGTGAAGGTAGGGCTTAATTACAACAGTGATACACTCACTGTGGTGGGCATGGCTTGACAAAAGAGGCATGCTGTCTCTAAAACACTTACATGATTACAAAAACACTTACATGATTAAAAAAGTTTTAAGTGTATGCATGATTTGCCATCATGTATGTCTCTGCACTGTGTGCATGAAGTTCTAGAGGAGGCCAGGAGAAGTCATCAGATCCACTGGAACTGGAGTTGCAGATGCTGGTGAGCTGCCATATGGATGCTGGGAACTGACCCTGGGTCTTCTGCAAGAACAGCCAGCACTCTTAACCTCCTAGCCACCTCTCCATCTTATATAATTTAGGAGCTTACATTGCTCAAAGCATTTACATAGTTTTATCTCAGGAAATTTCTTCAGTAGTAAGATCTCATAAGGTGTTTTCTGGAGTGCATTGTGTCAGGTGTACACACTGAAAAGTTCACCAGGAAGTTCTCTGCCTATGTTTTAACTACAAACATCTTTAATCTTTCAACTGTTTATGGATAAAAGAGAAGTTTTAGTCCCAAAGTGACATCTGCTTTCCTTCAAATGTGGTTCATACCATTTTGGCATGCTTATTTGAAATACACCTATTGAAAAATACTGATCTCTGTATGGATGTAATCTTCACAGAATGTTTCTGTAGTTGTACTGAAATTTTTGACTCTTAGACAGACAGAGATTTCAGAGTCCTCAGTGAGTGATCTTTCCCTTGCTGTGTCCCCTTATCTACCCTGTCTTTCTGTCTTGACTCACAGTAGAGGGAAGGGGGAAACATTATCTTCATGCATGACTATGTCACGTCATCCTGCAATATGCTAATAAAAATCAAATAAACTCAATAACTTCTGCCAGATGCTTACATACAAAATTAACTCAAAATATTACACATACATGTAGGATTTTAAATTTTAATGCTTTTAGAAGGAAACAGTCTTAGATAATTAAAAAAAAAAAAACCAGACACCATCAACATTATACGCTACTGTGTCTGAAAAGATGCCATCCAGAAAGTGCAAAGATAAGCCACGAAGTGGAAGGAACTATTTGAAAGTCATGTATCTGGTAAGAAATTTATTTGTAGAATATATGAATGCCTTATACACTTGAAAATTTAAAAGGTAACCCATTTTTAATGTACATACAGGTGTGTGCAAATGTCAGAAGATGGTAATGGTTCCCCTGGAACTGGAGTTAACAGGAAGATGTGGGTGCTGGGAACTGAACTCAGGTTGTCTGCAAGAAAAAGTGCTCTTAACCACTGAGCCACCCCAGACAAAAGTGTTCCGCTATTTAAATGGCGAAAGAACCAGCCATGATGGCATATGCCCATGAACCCAGCATTCAGGTGTCAGAAGCAAGATCTTCACAACTTTCAAGCATAGTGAGTTCCAGGCCAGCCCCTGGCTACTGTTCAAATACTTGTTTTCTCTCTAGAATTGCAGAATAGCTTCCTTCCCCAAATAGCTGGCCTCCACAGCCTTCATAAATCCCTTGTAACTTCTTTCATTTTTGGACACTGGAACCTCAAATGCTGTTCTGATGTCTTCAAGTGCCTGACACACACTAGGGTCAACACTGAGCTAAAATCTCTTCTTTAATTCCTTGATATTGATGTGGGTTGATGCGATGTCTTCATTGCTAAAACTTGCAAGACTTTAATGATAATATCTTTTAAGTACAAATGGTTTTCAATAACTAGCAGTTGCTACATTTGATTCTTAAAGTAAGATGCAGACAGCATCTTATTTTAACACCACTCATTCTGTTCAGTAAAGGAAGACATAAAATACAGCTCTAAATATGTGCAAGCATCTGTATTGTTCAGGGGCCCATTAGTACAAGAGTGTGTAAAAATCGATGTAGGCTCTGACATCTAAAACCTGTCCTCTGCTAAAGATCCAATACTAATATTTTTTCAAACAAATGTCCATTCAGTTCCCTTTTTAAGTGCATACAGCTCGATTTCCAGTACAGATGGTTTTACCATCATAAAACCTTCTCATCTCTCCAGACAAGCAATATCAAACATCTTTTTATCATTGTAAAGATTGTATAAATCCAAATTGAGATTAGCTTCTTTAGGGCCCAAATTTACTCATCCTAAATGCATTAGGATCATGATCTTCTTTATGAATAATAGGTATTGGTGTCACTTATAAAGTCATATGTAAATGGACTAAGATTGGTGCAGTGTCGGTTTTAAATAGTGATTTATCTACTCTGTATACTCCTTTAAAGATTAAGAGAGTCTATCATAAATATCAAAGGCTCTAGCCATCACTGGCAGGCTATGAGGGACAGGTACACTCATCCAAGTGGACAGGCATATTTTGATTTTTTTGCTGAGATAAAAAGCAGACCAAGAAGTGTGGTGTTCTCAACGTGAATTTCTAAGTTCCTGTTAATTGTGACACTGATGAGGCTGGAGTCTAGTCAAGTTATCTCAGTACAGTAGGTTCCTCATTCCAGGAGCAGAGCCTTTGTAGCTTGCCATTTTCCTTGCTTTCCTTTATGCTCAATCTTAAAGCAAATATTACTGAAGGTTCATCCAGAAAATATTTGAAATTTCAAAGAAAGTAGATTCCGCTAGAAATATCACTATTAGGTTTCCAGGACTTGCTGTCTTGTCCATCCAGTACATCCAATCCCAGAGTTTGACTTGCCCCTGCTCTACCTAATCCACAGGTCAGAGGAGCCACAGGAAACCATTCAAGGTCATGATTGACATCCTGGATATGTAACACAGGTTTAGTGATATCAGCATGGCTGCAATAACTGTGCTGATATTTAATTTACTCTTATGCCTTTGTCTCCCCCTTTTATATTCTGTCACACATTACATTTTCTAAGTTAATCTTTAAACTACATATTAATAGGGCTTGTTATGGCATCTCCGTACATTTTTCTCATACATTTGTGATGTTAAATTTATTCTCACTTTTCATTCCTATTGCCTCTACATGTAATCTCCTCAATTCTGTTTCGTTTCCCTTTTTTCCTCCATAGGATAACCTCTTCTACTTCCTTGTCACATGTATTCCATGATGCTTCTGCTAAACTTGAGAATCTCAAAGAGAAAAACACCAAATCCACAATTATCAAATTCAAGCAAACTGTGTTTGGGGGTGCATCCGGGACTGGCCATCCAGCTGTCTCACTGTAAGTCAGGATTTGAGAGAGCAGCCATCTTGGCCCTTGAGATCCTTTTCATAGAAGAGATGAGGTGCTCACAGAGGCAAGAGAGCTGACTGTTACACATTATTAGAAAAACACAATGAAAGGGAAGGAACAAGAGTAATGATGGACGTCATACGAATGGGGTCACAAGTCTAGTGTAGGTTGGAAAACATGCTTTGCAGTTTACATCAGATCTAAGAAACAGAAACTTATGGGCCTCATTCACAACAGAAATCTTAACACGCAAGGTGTATCGTTCCTGTTTTGGTTTCACAATTCCTCTTCCCATGTTCTTAACATTGCTTTGTCTTGTCATTGTTTACCATCTCTCCTTCCCAGCTACCACTCTGTCTTGTTTGTTGTTTGTTTGACAAGGTCTCTTTACAGAATCCCTGCTGCCCAGCAGCTGACTGTGTAGACCAAGATGGCCTCAAAATCACAAAGATCCCATGTTGGCCTCCAGAGCACTAGAATTAAGGGGGTGTGTGCACCCCAGGCCTATATCCTCTTGCTTCGTATGTTCTTTCTATATTTACATGCTCATTAACATGTGTCTCCAGTGTTAGCTTATGTATTTCATTGAAGTATATATTTAAAAGAGAGAGGTTCCTATGTATGTCAGTAAATTATATATTAAAAAAGAGAGGTTGCAAATGATGCCAAAATACTGTAACTCTGAGAAGTTTTTTTTTTTTTCTCTTACCTGCATATATTGCTAAGCTTATGACCGTTCTTTGTGCTACAGGTCTACATCGTAATCTGTGTCCTGTCTATCGCTGGGAAATTCCCTTTAGCGCTTCTCAGAGAGCAGTTCTACTGGTAGTGAGTGTCTTCCTATGTGGATTATCAGTAAATGACTCTATTTTCTTTGTTTTTAAAAGGTGCTTTGGCGGAGCATAGCATTCTTAGTTGACATGACTACAAAGCTATAGTATGAGAGAATCCCTGTGTCGAAGCATGTTTGTCAGCCTGTGCCTCGGTTGGAAGCGGTGGAACCTATAAAAAGTAAGATCATTCTCTTTTCTTCCCCAACTGGACCTTCCGGATGCCTCATGTTCTCCTCTGCCCCTTATCCCCTCCTCTTTCTCCTCCCTCCCCTCCCCCTCCCTCCATGCTCCCAATTTACTCAGGAGATCTTGTTCCTTTCCCCTTCTGGGGCAGGGGTGGGGGTGGGGGTTGGAAGGGTCTCTCTTAGGGTCCTCCCTGTTTCCTAGCTTCTCTGGGGTTGTGGATTGTAGGCTGGTAATCCTTAGCTCTATGTCTAATATCCACTTATGGGTGAGTACATGCCATGTTTGTCTTTCTGTGCCTGGTTTACTTCACTCATGACGGTTTCTTCTAGTTTCATCTATTTGCCTGTGAATTTCAAGATGTCATTGTTTTTTACTGCTGAGTAGTACTCCATTGTGTAAATGTACCACATTTTTTTATCCATTCTTTGGTTGAGGGGCACGTAAGCTGCTTCCAAGTTCTGGCTATTACAAATAATGCTGCTATAAACAAAGTTGAACAGATGTCCTTGTTGTATGAATGTGCATCTTTTGGGTATATGCCTAAGAGTGGAGCTGCTGGATCTTGTGGTAGACTGATTCCCATTTTCCTGAGAAACCACCATACTGATTTCCAAAGTGGCTGTATGAGGTTGCACTCCCACCAGCAGTGAAGGAGTGTTCTAATTCCCATTTTCCTGAGAAACTGCCATACTGAGAAGGAGAGCAAGGAAAGAGACACCTTAATAGAGGGAGCCATTATGGGCTTAACGAGAAACCCCGTACTAGGGAAATTCCCAGGAATCCACAAGGATGACCCCAACTAAAAATCTAAGCAATAGAGAGAGGCTACCTTAAACGCCCTTCCCCTATAATGAGAATGTTGACTACCTTAAATGTCATCCTAGAGCCTTCATCCAGTGGGTGATGGAAGAAGAAGCAAAGATTCACAGCTAAGCACTAAGCTAAACTCCTCGAATCCAGTTGTAGAAAGGGAGGAGTGATGAGCAAAGGGGTCAAGACCAGGCTGGAGAAACCCACAGAAACAGTTTACCTGAATCAGGTCCTCTAAATCTGAGTGTCAGTTGGGGGGTCTGGACAGTCTATGGGGCCTCTGACAGTAGAACCAGTATTTATCTCTAGTGCATGAATGGGCTTTGGGAGCCCATTCCCTATGGAGGGATACTCTCTCAGCCTATAGACACAGGGGAAGGCCTAGGTTCTGCCCCAAATGATGTGACAGACTTCGTGGGTCCCCCATGGGAGGCCTCACCCTCCCTGAGGAGTGGATGGTGGTGAAATGGAGGGATAGGAGGACAGGAGGGAGAGAGAACTGGGATTGGTATGTAAAATAATATTGTTCTCATTTAAATAAAAATAATTTTAACAAAGAAGTGAGATCATGCTGAGAGAAGTTGGTTCTTTGGGAAGACACCCTTGAAGAGGTTATCAGAACCTTGTGACTGGAGCCCCACCCCGTCACTCTGGTTTTGGCCTGCCTTGAAGTGAACAGGAGCCTTCCACCATGCACTCCTGTCATGATGCACAAGCCCCAAAGCAACAGGACCAAGCCCCTTAGAAGCCATCAGAAGAAACTTTTCCTCCTAAGCTGCTTCTTTCAGGCATTTTGTCCCAGCAATTCAAAGTTCATCTCAGGCACGGTAGCACACATCCCCAGTCCCAGCAACTGGAAATCTGAGGTGGGAGCAATGCCGTAAATCTGATGTGAGTAGCTAGAGTTTGAAACCTTGTCTCAAACAAGCACCACTATAACAGCTCCCTTTGTCCTTCTCCTCTAAATATATCCTCCCACTGTCTCTAGTAGCTGCAGTTTCTCACGAGAAATTAGATGTTCTTAACCTATTAAGGATCAAACTAGCTCAGTCCCTGTACCTCTGCTCTGAGTTTCTGTTTGGTTCCTTTTTATATTCCGAACTCCTTAATGACACTCTCATTTTGTTCAGACATTATTTTCCCCAGCCCTCTTCCACTCTTTGTCTAGTTTTCTTTAATGCATTTTAAATACTTAAGATGGCTGATTCAGTATCCTTAAGTAATAATTCCAATATCTGAGTTTCCTGGGGGATTATTTCTAGAGAACAGTTGGTTTTGCAAATGGGCCAAAACATTTTGCAATGCTTTGCTGAGGAACAGATGTTACCAAGATTGTATTAGGGTTACTCTGATACATTTGATCTCCAGGGATTGTGTTAAATCTTGCTTTTGAAGGGGTGTAACTATCTGTAACTTTCCAAACTACTTTTGTAGAGTATACTTAGTCTGCTTTTACATAGCCATCAAAATTTCTTGTCTGCTGTCTCTGCAGTCAGCCAACTATCTGACAAAGACTTCAGGGACTGCTTCCTTCCAGGGTGGAGGGGGGATAAACAATGTAATTCCCCTAAGGTCCTAATCCACTTCAACCTGATATTTGAATAAACAGACTCCAGCAGCTACACCAGGAACAAAAACAGCCACCCCAGTTCATGGTATGACGGGATGTGGGAAAATAGACTGAAATGTAATCAAAATTTACCATAATCTGTTCATTGAAGTATCTGTGTGATGTCACAAGGGTTCCATTAAGACTTACGGCACAAAGTTAAACTCAAAAGGTCCCAAGTACAGGTGATCTTCAGCTCAGGATGTCTTAACTGAACACTTTGGACTTTATGGAAGAGCAAAAGTAATGGACTTGAATCAAAACTACACTTTGCATGCTGAATTTTTATCTTTGTGAGACACAAACTTTCTCATGAGTAGGCATTGCAGTCACACCACCCTATCAGCCACATGGTCAGCAACTGACACTCTAGTGAATAGTGCATGACTAAGCTGTGATGCTCAGTGTAGACTCAGCATCCTGATTCAATCATCATCAAATGAGCACCAGACTTAGTTCAAGTAGATCATGAGACATGAATCATTGTTAGACAGATGGACAGATTCCTCAAGCTTCCCACTCCAGCCTCATTCCTCCTTGCCTTTGTTTGAAACATGACTGATTTCACACACAACCTTAATATGTTCTTCAGCACTCCTAATTATTAAATGTATTGTCCTCAATAGGATGGTGAAAATCCCTGCAGACACGATGTCACAAAGGGCAAAGCTTCAATCCAAAGTGACACCATCTGTGCGGCATGAACTCAGGAACAAGTTAATAACGTTGTAGATTCTGGGCCTGCATTTAATCTGCTTCATCTGCTAAACATTTGTGCTTGACAACAGTATACACAGCAGAGTATCAGCTGCTGATCACATGTCTTGCACAGAGCTGTGTCTCATTGCTACAGCCCTTGGTCATAAGATACCCTATCTTTATCGCCAGCCTAGCATATCTAAATTCTGCTTTCATATCCTGCCTTCTTGTGCCAGGTTTAGCAAATAACTGAGATAATTTAAATATCAGGGCTTGTAACACCCAGAAAACATGTTAAGACCCTCAATACAAGACAAATTACGACTATCATAGGAGGGAGTGTCATCTCTGAGACTAGTCAACCAAGGACTGTCCTACTTGTCCTAAGAATGGCTACCTTGAATACCAACCTAGAGCCTTCATCCAGTAGCTGATGGAAGCAGAAGCAGAGATCCACAGCTAAGTACTGAGCTGAATTCCTGGAATCCAGCTGTAGAGAGGGAGACGTGATGAGCAAAGGGGTCAAGAACAGGCAGGAGAAACCCAGAGAATACAGCTGACTTGACCAAGTGGGATCACATGGACTCCAGTTGTAAAACTGGGGAACTAGCATTGGACTGAACCAGGCCTTCTGAATGTGGGTGTCGGTTAGGAGGCCTGGGCTGTCTACGGAACCTCTAACAGTGGAACCAGTATTTATCCCTAGTGCACAAATGGACTTTGGGAGCCCAATCCCCATGGAAGGGGTTACTTTCTCAGCCTAGGTCCTCCCCCAAATGATATGACAGACTTTTAATGATCCCCCTTGAATGCCTCACCCTCCTTGGGGAGTGGATGGGGGTGTTATGGGGGTGGGGGGACATGGGAGTATGGGAGGGAGAGGGAACTGGGATTGACATGTAAAATAAGATTGTTTCTAAATTAAATAAAAAATTTTTAAACGTTCTTGACAAATGCTTCATCCTGTTTACAAGAAGATTGCGCATTTCGTTACCCACACATGTACCCTGTGGGAGTTGTAGCAACCGTTGCAGATGGCTTACCACACTTCTGTTGTTTGTCCTCTGCCCTTGAGCTGTCAACCCAGTCCCCACTCTTCACCCACATTCTCACCACAAAACCCTGTGAGTTCGCTGGTTTCCTACAGTGCAGGAGGGAAGGTTTAGGTGCTGAGTGTAGGCCCTTTTAATCTTTCTTTGCATCTTCTTTTTTTTTTTTTCTTTTCTTTTCTTTTTTTTTTTTTTTTTTTGGTTTTTGGAGACAGGGTTTCTCTGTGTAGCTTTGGAGCCTATCCTGGCACTCACTCTGGAGATCAGACTGGCCTCGAACTCACAGAGATCCACCTGCCTCTGTGGTGCTGGGATTAAAGGCGTGCGCCACCAATGCCTGGCTCATGAATCTTCTAAGCAACTCTCCTTTGCTGATATTGTGATGGATAGAGTCTAGACGCTGCCCAACTCAATTGCTTGGTCTTGGTTGTGACAGAGGAGGGTGGTTGTTTAGGCATTGAATTTCAGATTTCAATAACCATAATTTAGAACTTGTCAAAGTCTTCTGGGACCTAATTTCTCCTTCTTTGCCTGGGTTCAGCCTCACACTTCAATCTCCTAGTGATGTAGTGAGTGGAAGGTTTAGGCACTATGCTTGCCTGCCCAGGTCACCTGGCCTAATGCACTCAGGCAGTACTCTGTCAGCCCAGGGTTCCATTGATACTAAGTCTGCACGCAGGTATAAAGGACCCCTTTAAAAGACAGACCCCTGCCCACTTATGCTCTCCTAATCTTATGCTCTTTTACTTTCCTGTCTCCTCTTACCCTCTCTCTGTCCCTCCCTCTCTTGCTCCCCGCCTCCTGCCCTGTAATAAACTGGTTAATGTACTCTCTATGGTTGGTGTTCCATCGAACCGGTTCCATCTCTCGGCTTCTAATATTTAAACTTAAACAAAAGAACAACTGTGAGGACTGCTCCTCTGGTTCTGAGTACACTGGGTGTTTGCCCTTTCAGGCCACCTCCCTCATCTAGTTCCTGATGCTGAGATTAGAGACATCCTGACTGAGGGGCTAAGCAGAAATAGCAAGTTCCTCCTAGACTCCTAGTCACCTCTTCCTTGTTCCTTCTTCCTGTTTATGAGGTGGGGAGGTTTTTGCCATGTTGGACCAAGCTCTGGCTGCTTCCTACACAGAGGGTCCTGGGGAGTTATGCATCGCTTTGTTTTTGCTTGGTAGCAGTCACTTCTTCACCATCCCCACCCACCCAAAGTTCTTCCTCGATAGCTTTCTTTTTCTGACTTTTCTTACTTTGGTCCTTTCCTTTATTGGCACAGTCTGGGACAGCCTCTAGTCTATGACCTTAGAACGCAGCCCTCTCTAATATATTACTATGTTCAAAATGGCAGCCCATGTGGAATAATAAAAGGATTTGCACAGAAATGGGAATTACCTAAGTATGGAGTATCTCAAGTGTTGCTGACTGTGGCTTATTACAGGCATTAGAAGGATCCATTTACTATTACTTCAGAATGCACAGAGGCTTTTGTTGCTAATCAGATTTGGCTTGATGGATGAGAAAGAGTTATCATAATGCCCTGCTTCCTTTGCTTCATGTCAGGCACATAGTAGAATGTACCTTCAACCATGAAGATCTCTTCTAGAGTGTGCTTAACAAGAAATATTTTATCTTCCAGGAAAGCTAGCTCTATCTGATAAAAATAAGTAAATAAATAAAAAAGACTAGAACATGCTGGAATAGCTAGAAGACTGTGGGGCATTAGTGCCTGCAGATTATTATAATAGCCCCCCTTGTAGTTTTAAGGATTTATTCTGTTTTTTCATGCATACTTAATAAGGAAGTAATATGAAATTTATGTCCCTAGCCTAGAGGACAGCCAGATGGACATTAGCCAAATGCAAACAGACTTTCTTCCCTCTTCATATTTGGTTAGCAAAGTTCAAATGCAATAAAGAGTAAATGTTTTGGCTCAAAGTTCATTCTGAGTAAATGTTTACTGAGTAAAGATTAATGCAGCAATCATGGTAGGACTTGCCCTTAACCTTACCTTTGCCTGTAATCTAAGACAATGGGGGTGAGGCTGCCAGTTACAACAAGGAAAGCAACGGCAAGCAGGATTTAACGTCTTTTTCTTGCAAAGGGAATAATCTAGATACTTTACATATTCATAATTATTTAATCTAAATAGCATGTTGATACACTGTATCTATCGTTTCTTTCATTTCCTTTTTACTATAGCTAACATATAGCTTGTGTGTATCTTATGCATTAACAGTCCTTCACATTCCAGATCACTACAACACAGACCTTTTTTGACTGAAGTGTCCTCAGTAGATTTGTTTGCGCTTTGTTTTTGGTGGTAATGAGGATTGAATCCAGGGTTTATTTATGCTAGACAGGTACCCCTGAGCTACATCATTAGCCTGGGGCAGGGCAAGGGCTTCCAGAAGCTCACAATGAACATGAATATTTTAGGAAATATTAATATTTTAACAATACGCTTGTCATATTTTGTCAAGAGAATATTTTGACCTGTCCTACAAATAATATCCACTTTATACTTAATGTGCGGTTCAATCATTGTAGCAACCCTGGGAACTGAACTGAAATTTCACTTCTTGATATTATAAAATGGTTTAAACAAGAAGCCAGGACTCAGACCCAAGCTGTCTACCCTCACTCTGGCCCCATTCATGCTCCTGAATTCAACCCTGGCTACTGTGTAATATGGCAGCATGATGAGCTATGAGAATGTTAATAAAGAAAGAGCAACTGGGTATTGAGACATGGTAAATAGGAGAAAGATCATAGATGCATCAGGCTTGTGCATAGTTAGTGTCTTAGTGTCCTATTGCTGTGAAGAGATAGCATGACCACAGCGATTCTTATACACAAAAACCTTTAACTGGGGCTTGTTAAAGTTTCAGAGGTTTAGCCCATTTTCATCATGGCAAGGAGCATGGAGGCATGGAGATAAATAATGGTGCTGGAGAAGTCGAGAGTTCTACATCTGCATCTGCAGGCAACAGGAAGAGAGAGCCCCTGGGCCCTGCTTGGGCTTCTGGAACTGTGAAGCCCACCACCAGTGACGCACTTCCTTTAACATGGCCACACTTCCCCAACAATCCCTCCTAATCCCTCTCAAGTACTCCCACTCCCAAATGAGCATCAAATATAAGAGCTTATAGGGGCCATTCTTATTCAGACCACCACAGTTAGTTATTATCTGGGCTTTCAATGAGTTATCAGTTTTTTCTGTATGACTTGGGAGTATGTCTTTCCATGGTATTCTGTTAATAGTCAATAGTTATTTTTTTAAAAAAAAAAAAAAGTCTAACCAACAGTTATGAAGTATTATAGGTGTGGACCAGAGTCCAGAGGACACCTGTTAAGAGTCCCAACTTCTCTTATCCTGAAACAAAGAAGTGCACCAGGAACATGTGGCTAGTGGTAGAAATAGAGGCGCTCTGGGCTGGAGAGCTAAGGCAAGCCTGGGGCTGACAAGTCCCCAGCCCCGTGACATTTGCAAGTCATTTGCCCCAGCCATGATATTTGCAAGTCATTTACACATAGGACCCATCTGCCCCACAGGATTCCCCAGGCCCTTTTTCTCACATGCTTTATTTTGTAACTCTGAGTGAGTTTCCAGTTTTTCTTGTCTTTCCCTTTGCCAACTAGCTTATTTCATATGGTAATCTTGATAACCAATCCACCCCATCAACCACCATGATATCACTATCTCCTGGGATAGTTTCACAGAATCCTTCAGAGTACAGCTGTTCTTGTTTCACAGCAATTCTTTCCTGTTCCTGGTAGCCACACACACAGAAAAGTGGAGAATACACACTGAAATATTCCCTCAAAAGCAACTAATGCCCAAGGAAGGCAAATAATAAAACTAGTTTAAGAAACTGAAAACTCTCATCCTGCCATAGAAATAAAAAAGAAAAGAAAAGAAACAACAACAAAAGCCCAATACAGTGTCACACTTTATATCATATAAACAATCTACATTCCAATGCATCACGTGGTTGGGGAATCAGCCAGGAGGAGGTGAAGGGAGGGAATGGGTGAGAATATGAACAAAGCACAATGGTCTGCATGCAGGGAAAATCCACACGCATGGAAATCTACATGCAGGGAAGTCTACACGCAGGAAAATCCACACGCATGGACATCTACATGCAGGGAAGTCTACACACATTAAAATCCACATACATGGAAATCTACATGCAGGGAAGTCCACATGCATGAAGATTTACTTGCATGGAATGACATAATTTAGCTCACTGTTTTATGAGCTAACCAAAAAGAGATAGCTGAAATAAAAAGAAATTAACTTTATAGTATTTTGAAATGCCATAATTTATAAATGCCAAGCAATTATGCAACCAAAGCAGACGTTATTTCTCAAGAGGTGGGAAGGATTTTGTTCTGTGGCACAGCTGCTTACCACAACTCCTGTTCTGGTCAATGTCCACCAGGAAGAGACAACAGTTTGAAATGTGCTCCAACCCCATAGCTGCCTGAAGGTTACTCTGTTTCCCTAACTCAGACATCTCTCATCTGGCTTGCTGTTTTCTTTTGAGAATATAATAACCACTATCTCTCCGAATATCATGGTCTTCCTTGCCACCCTCTTTTCCCCTGAGACTCCTGTTGCTCATGTTAGATCCATTCATGTTTGTCCTATCATTGTGCATAGTGTTCCCTGTCTTGGCTCCTTGCACGTCAGTCTGATGGCTACTCTGCAGCAATACTGCTCCCTTCTGCAGGGATCAATTCTCACACTAGTTTTCAATTA